ATAGGGAGGTAGAACCAGGAGGAGGAGGTTGATTAGATGGACTAAGATGGGGGTGGGGGTGAAAGGTGGCGGTGGAGGTGTTGTGACACACCTTTCGCCGATGTTTGTGATGTTAAATATGCACCAAGTAGACGTGCATTTTGCAGTTCAAAATTTTTTTGGTAAAACCTGCAAGAGGAATACTTGGTGCAACAAAAAGAGGCGAACGCAATAATCAGGCATTCTGTTGGAGATGCATTCGCTTTCCGATCGAAGTAATTGCGTCGATTTGTTTAGACTGTGCAATAGCTATTTGCGCTTTTGAATCTGACCTTGTGGTAGTGGGAAGTCTGTTTGTTGGAAGTCGGAATGTATGGTGGTGTAACGCGAATGCATGGTCTTGTTATTTGCAACAAGTGGCCGCAATTGCCAGTGCCCCTTGAGAGGCTTGATATACATGCTGTATTTGTGAACAACAATGCTGAGGTGTGCTGTGCATTTACGTACAAGAACTCCTCTCCTGACCTCATTGAGGCTGAATTTGCCTTTCCCCTGGAGTCAACAGCTGCCGTGTATCACTTTGAGGCGGTTATTGGTAATAAGCGACTGGTCGCGAGCTGCAGAGAGCGGATCGAGGTAAGCTCCATGAAGGTGGCTATTGTTAGTGCGGTGTGTGTGGCATGATTAAAAAGTGTTTGTACCATAGGCTGAGGCGACGTATAGCGAGGCTGTGGAGGCAGGTCACATGGCGTATATGATGCAGGAGGACTACACGATGGGGGACACATTCCGGATGAAGTTGGGCAATATACCGGGTGGAGAGACGGTAAAGCTGATCTTCAGGTATGTGGTGCCTCTGTACCTGAGGGAGGTGGACAAAGGCGTGGAGCGGTTTGCGTCTCTGCAGGAGGCGTGTGTGTTGGTCTTCTCGATGCCTCTGCATTTGGGTGGGAGATACGACCCGAATCCGAGTTGGTTTCATGTTCTATCGCCTGGATGCACTGTTTGTGTGGGGTGGGGGCACTTGCATTAACTAGTGCTTTTGCTGTTGTTGAAAAGGTGCTCATAAATCTGGTGCAGTGGAGCGGATGGCGGCGAAGGTGTCCTTTACAGCAGACGTGCATGCGGATGGTGGGATTGCGTCAGTCACATCGGCACACAACAAATTCCAAGTGAAGTATGTGGACGGGAGGAAGGAGGACGCGGAGGTGAGTGTTGAATGAGAGGACAGGTGTGGTCTTGTGTGTGTGTGTGTGTGGATATGTGAAGAGGGTGCGAAGGACTGTATTGTAGGTGTCGGTGGTGGGCGATGTGGACCTGCGGC